TAAGGACTTGGTGTTCTGTGTCCTAGTTGCTCCAGCCGTAGCTAAAGGGGACCAAGGTACAGCGTGAGCCATGGCTTCAGAAGTTACAAGCCCTAAGCCTTGCCAACTTACACATTGTTTTGAGCCTGCAGGTGCACACAAACAAAACCTGAGGTTTGAGGCTGAGTGTGGTGGCTCATCCCTTTAATCCCAGAACTTTGGGAGGTCAAGGTGAGCAGATCACTTGAGATCAGGAGTTCAAGACCAGCCTGGCCAACATAGTGAAACCCCATCTCTACTAAAAGTATAAAAAATTAGCTGGGTGTGGTGGTGGGCACCTATAATTCCAGCTACTCAGGAGGCTGAGGTAGGTGAATCACTTTAACCCAGGAGACAGAGGATGCAGTGAGAAGAGATTACACCATTGCACCCCAGCCTGGACAATGAGTGAAACTGTCTCAAAAAAAAGTAAGTTGAGGTTGAGAACCTCTGCTAGATTTCAGAGGAGGTATGGAAACACATGGTCAGGCAGAAGTTTGATGCAAGGGTGGATTCCTCATGGAGAACTTCTGCTAGGGTAGTCCAGAAGGGAAATGTGTGGTAGGAGCCCTCGCAACAGAGTCCCCACTAGGGCACTGCTTGGTGGAGCTGTGAGAAAAGGGCCACTGTCCTCCAGCTCACAGAATGTACTAAAAAAGGCAAATACTTGATTCCAGCCCAAGAAAGCAGGCAGAAGGGGGCTGTACCTTGCAAAGCCACAAGGGGCAGAGATGCCCAAGACCATGGCAGCCCACCTCTTGCATCAGTGTGACCTTGGTGTGAGACATGGAGTCAAAGAAGACCACTTCAGAGCTTTAAGATTTAGCTGTCCCACTGGATTTAGGATTTGTTTGGAACCTGTAGCCCACTGGTATGGGCCATTTTCTCCCATCTGGAATGGGTATATTTACCCAATGCCTGTACCCACATTGTATCTAGGAAGTAACTTGCTTTTGATTTTACAGGTTGATGGGTGGGAGGGACTTGCCTTGTCTCAGATGAGACTTTGCTAGGAATTCTGGGTTAATCCTGGAATGAGTTAAGACTTAGAGGACTGTTGGAGGGCATGACTGTATTTAAAAATGTAAGAAGATGTGATTTGGGAGGGCTGGGGTTGGAATGATATGGTTTGGTTGTGTCCCCACTCTAATCTCATCTTGAATTGTAATACTCCCGACATATCAAGGGTGGAACCAGGTGGAGATGATTGAATCGTGGGGTTGGTTTCCCTCACGCTGGTTAATTATAGTTCTTATGAGATCTGATGGTTTCATAAGGAGTTACTTCCTTCGTGGGGCTCTCATTCTTCTCTTACCTGCTGCCATGTAAGATATGCTTTGTTCCTTCTTGCCATCTGCCATGATTATGAGGCCTCCCAAGCCATGTGGAACTGTGAGTCCATTTAACCTTTTTCTTCATAAATTATGCAATCACAGGTATGTCTTTATCAGCATCATGAAGATACACTAATACTCTGGGGTTCCCCTTTAGGGAGAAAGGAACAGCATCAGTCCTACTGCAATAGGTTGACTCTTGTTCCATAGCTGAACATTCTGACTCTCATCATGTTGGCATGGTCTTTACCTTTGCATTTACCCTGTGGATCTTAATGAAGGCAGGCTTGGTGGGTGACGTCTCCCTTGAAACACTCAGGTCTGATTCAGATGAGAGTGAAATCTATTTGAAACTGTGGTCCTGCTGCATTCACTGCAGTGTTGTACTTTGGTTCCAGGTTATCTTAGACATCAATGATGAACACTGAGGAATTCCAAACCTACTTTGCTTTTGTTTGTCAACAGGTGTTTGGATTTTGTGTGACCTAATCCTGCCAAACTCTCAAGGTCACAGCATACAGAATTTTCAAACTGCTTTTCCTGATACTCTTGCTGCTTGTTTGCCGTAAGCAGATCTTCTCCACATGAGTGTTTTCCATGGTCCACGTGAGATTCTGTCCCTCTGGTTACTTGGAGAGAGACTTTCGCTCTGATATCTCTCTAGACATGTCCACAAGCAGCTGCTACATGCACAGCATTTGAGTCTGGTTTCTCATATGTTACCCCAAGATTCATGCACTTGGGCTCCCAAATCCCTGGCTCTTCAGTATGCTGCCATGGGATTATTGCTCAAGGATTATCTTCAAGATATGTAGATTCAGTATCTGAACGTGGCAGAACCTTCAGGTGACAGCCTTTTATTTATCTCCCATGGGTTTTGTGTTCTGAGAATGAGGACACACAGGTGTTTGAACCACAAGGGGCAGGAACAGAGATAAGCTTGAACTCAAATGCCTGAAGTTGTAACTGCCTTCCACCCTGGTCAGATGAGCATCTTGGAAGGAGATGTTTGAGTGACTGAAATGCAAACATTATTTATTTACTGTGCCTTTTCTTCTACAATTGAACAGGCAGCAGGCACACAAGCAATTAATAAAGCAATGATTTTAATAATCTAGGTCATAGCTGCATCTTCGAGTGCTCCAAGGTGTGCAGGGTCTCTGATCTGACCACAGTTTGCTCTGAAGTTGACTCATAGTTGGGCCCCTCATGGAGCACATCCCACTGAAGGCTGCTCCACTCCAGAGCCTGAGCGCAGCAGCTCTTACTGGCTCCCACAAATCCCTCATGTGATGCATCATGAGGGGATGCTCTCGGGCATTGCCATGTAAGGCTGTAATTATGATGGGTTGTATTTCTATAAGATAACCACTGAGTCTGACCAGACGATAGCCTGCCTGCACTGTGTCCAATTTGTCTCCTGTGCTGTTGGGCTGGTGAACGTCTACCTTGACAGTAGGAACTCTGTCTGATCCTACACACTAAGGAAATGTTGATAAAACTACCTGTTCCCTTTACATAAATTCAATCCAATATGTTGGATGTTAAAGTATCCTATCACTTCAGTTACCAGTGGTCACACAAGTTGGGATCTCTTAAGGTCCAGGTGTGGTCTGGGGCTAAGATGTTGGTGGAGCCTCCTACTGAGCCGCTAATGAGGGTTGCCCAGTGTCCAGGGAGCAGCTCTGCACTGACAGGTGCTTCCTCAGGTTCTATCCTGACAATTATTTTCTTCAATTGGTTCCATCCTTCTGGAATGATCACACAACGGGGAGCCAGTAAACTTCTCAGCAGCAGTTCCAGAAACTGTGTCTACTCACAGGACAACTCATGGCAGGCTTCCCACACTGTGGGGCTGGTACCCAGTCCACCCTCTGGCCTGAAATTTCTTCAGGACTGGGCCAAGTGTCTTTACCTTTGAAGAGAACTGAGGACCAAACCCTTCTGTAAGTATATGAGGAACAGCTGACTTATCATTTTTAGTAGGGCTCATACATTGACACCTTTGTGCCAGGGTCATCTCTGGTTAGGGGGCACTAAAGGGAATGATTTCCTCAGTCTACCTCAAAGATCAGGAAGGAAAGGGAGTCTCCTCTCTCATATCTGAGTACTGATGTGTTCTCAGTGTTAATGATGTGACCTATATCTGCTTCGAACTCCACTGTTTCTCCTTAGAAAGTTTAGCAGATGAGTCACCCCTTATCTTGTAATAAGCAAGTATTCTTGATGAGAAATTTACATCTTTGGCAGTTTCTCCAGTCAGTGGTAGGTGCAGCATCTTGGAAGCCCACTCAGTGGAGGTGAAGGACCAACAGAACACATGGTGCTGGCAGCAACTGCCTTTCTCTTTTGATGCCTTTGGTCTCAGGAGTTGTTGTCACCAAATCTAGGAAGAATCTTGGTCACCTTTACAACCAGGGCTCCATCTCTAATCAAAGGAACAGAATTCTGATATCCCCATTCCTGTGGGGTGGGCTGGGATGGGGTGTGGAGGGTCTGTCAGTCTCCTTGGTTCACAAGCATGAGCTGGGGCTCTGATGTGGAAGTAGCTGCTGGTCTTGCATTCCAGGCCTAGGACTCTGAGATCTGTACTGGACAGGGTTTTTTTTTAGCTAGGTTGTTCTGACAATTGTAACAGAGGTAGCTGTAAGGGAGGATAGGGAATTTTCTAAACTGTGAGAGGGAACTTTCTGTCGGTGATCAGTGAGATGTGACCTGCCTCGTGGTGCTGTGCTCACCTGCAACTACTGAGCAGGAACATCATGGTCCACTGTGAAATGTGAGCATCTAGTGTCTAAGATGGGGATGGTTAGGATGCTGCCTGCTGTTCTAGTTAACCCACTGGGTTGCTGTGGGAAAGCAAATTTTTGATAAACATTCTCATCTTTTAATGTTTTCTGGAATAATCGGTGTGTGACTGGTGTCATAACTGTGGCAGAATCCACTGGTAAAGTTATTTAGGTGAGATCTTTATATTTAGTTTCGTTCATAGAAGCCCCAAATTATACCCACTTTTGGAAATTTTAATTCATGATATTTATACCCATATTTCAAATTGATTCATTCATTCTTGTCGTTTTCATCTCCAGTAGAGGTGCTTACCTGAGGACTTTTAACTGGGTATCGTCCTGGCCATTATTGGACTCCAGTGGGAATCCATCAGCTTAGCTGCAGGGTTGTGTTCCTTCATTCCTGCCAGGTGTTACTAGTATGACACACACTGTGATACCATGTCGGTAGACCTGATTCTAGGTCATGATATTGATCTAAGAAGGTATGGGATGAGCAGGAAGACCTTGGTTTAAGTGTGAGTAAGGCGTTCAGTGTCCTGGAGTGGGACCAGGAATCACTTGACAGAAAAGTTTTCATATTCTTAAATTTGTGTATGTGTTTAAGAAAAGTGCACACCAGCCAAGCACGGTGACTCATGCCTGTAATCCCAGCACTTTAGGAGGCTGAGGTGGACTTTCAACTATTTCTGCCAAGACCGGGTAGTGAAGAACTGGAGGATAAGAGCCCAGAAATGTTATGCTGAGGGCTGACATTTGACAGGCCTAATCTCTGACAAAACGCTTTCCCTTCTACCCTGATGATTTCAGGTTGAGCTCTACATATGTAGGAAACAGTTAAATGACCCAGAGGTCTTGATGCAGGCACCACCAGCCCTGACTTTATTTGAAGTGAATTGGTTGAAAGTAAACTAAAAGTTTAGTCTGTCTAGAAAAACCGTTTTTGTACAAATTCATGGGGTTACATATGTATAGTGGTCAAGTCAGGGTATACATTTTTAACTATCTTCCTACTCTATCGAACACAAATATATTCCATCTAATTGTATGTGCTCTTTGACCTATTTCTCTTCATCCTCATCCTTCTCTACTCACCCTACCCAGTCTCTCTTCTCTAGCTTTAGGAAAACATATTGCTTCACGTGTTCTCATGATGTAGAATCAGTATCTGTAGGCTTCTGGTCTCCCAAAAAGTAACAGAACGTTTATGGCAGGTGTCATGGGTAATTTATCTCTTGGAGTGGTTTTCCCTTTTGCTGTCCTCAATAAAAGTTGGTAGGTTTCATCATGAAATTTTTAAATCTGAAATCTTAATCTTGGAGTTCTTCTGGATTAAATGTTTTCCTGAAAGAGAAAATAGACTGTATTTAGTATTTCCAGATACCATGAAGAGTATAGTATTCTTTAGGTTTAACTAAAAGAATACAGCACTGTGTATGGACCTGATACATTTTTTTAGTCCTCTAATGGGTAATTATTTTGATGTTCTGCCTTCTCAATTGAATATATATGAATCTACATTCCAATTAAAGATAATGTTTTATGCTGGCAGAAATAAACTGTTTTATCAATACATAATACGGAGAACATCTGGTCCATTACCTGTTGCTGTTCGCTTCTGATGACATCTGTAACTTTGTTAAATGAGTTGTCTTAGCAGAGAAGGGTCCATAGGCATTTGAATCACATATTCAGGCCCATGGGGGGTGCCCTGAATTCAAGTGGCTGAAAGTCTTAACTCTCTATTTACGCTTTGGGGGGAACAGGAGGAGGGAGATATTTTAATGATTGACACAAATTCTGAATGATGCAAATTCTCTATGTTCCCTTGTCCTCCTTATTTTAGTTTTCGTGTTTTCCTCTGATCAGCAGGATATGTTGCAATCCTTGGCCATATTAATTCTATTATTTATCCCATATATTTTTACATAGTACCATATTTTTGCTAAATCCATTTTACAACTTTACATTCTTTATTTGGCCAATATCAGACCTTATATAGGAGGATACTAATTATGTATCTAAATTTTTTTAATTTTGGGGGGTATGTGGTTTTTTTATTATTTTTTTAATGATAGTAACCTTAACATGACTACCCTTCATCTTCTGGGTTTTTATAGTGGCTATTGGCTTTGCATACATACAGGTTAAGAGGCTCTATTGAAAACATTTTTGTTCTCTAATGGACTGATGTCTAATCAGGTGGATGTCATGCTGTACTACCCTTTAAAGTTGTGACATCTCAGTTATGGCTCCCAGAATTTCCCCGTAGGAAGCAAAGACTGAAATGCTATCAGGTGGAAGCTGGATGTCCTGTACAGTTTCTACGTATGGCTTTGGCACCAATAGAAACGTGGTGCTTCTAGACAAGTGTGGGGCTCTGGGCACATCATTATACCTTCTCCTATAGGGAGCTAGAGCTTGTCTGGAGACACAGGATTCTGAAACCATTATAGTTATAGTCCCCTAGTGTCACACTGCTGCAGTTTGCTGACCCTTATCCCCATAACTTTGATCCAGAGAACTTTCCTGAGTAAGAAAGGTCAGTTAGTATGCCTCCCAATCATTAGCTCCTTTCTGGTTTATTCTGGGCAATGCTTTTCCAGGCAGAATGGCTAGGAGATCCTGGGGGATGGCTGTGACAAGAGGAAAAAGATGCTTATGGTCTGCTTTATTTAAAAACTTGTTGTTTATCAGTGAGACAGTTTTTGCCTCTCATGGAAGCTGTGCTACCATTAACTGGAGCAGGGGGCTCACTGGCCTGGAAAGGATGAGGACTGGTGCATCAGAGCTTCTCTGGTAGTAAAGCTGGTAAGAATTCAACCAGTGGACTTAGTTTACTTGGTCCTCACAAATGAGCCCATTGTGAGTCTCCCATGCTGTGTCATGACTGCCCCTACTAAAGGGATGAGCTCAATTCAGCACAGGCAAATTTTGCAGAAGCACGGTTCATGTTGCTGTGTAGTTCCTTGGGAACACATTTCTGAACTTGTGCTTCTATGTGTGTATCTGATTTTCTCCTCCTCAAGAGACCAGAGCTATGAGCCTGTTTGAGATAGGCTAGACTCAAGTGACTGAAGTATACTGTCAATATTTCACAATCACAGGCCACTATTCAGGATGACTCAAAGTATAGTGCTTTTATTGTTTTGTATGTTGACTTGCTGGTGGCTCAATATCGTCCAAAATGCAGGCATATTTAGACTTCTACTCTATAACTTCATCCTATTTATTCTTTTGTTTGATCCTACTGCCAGTGCCTGGTCACCTAGATGGGGCAATTATACATTGAGGATTGAAGCTTAGTTCTCTTTTGATACAAGGTGAAGAAAGACTTTAGACTCCAAATTAACAAAAGGTTGTAACTGCCTCATTTTGTTATTTGCAATTTGTTGGTAGAAGAGTGGCTGTTCCTGTCCAAAGCTGGCAACAAAATAGTGGCTGTAAGCTCATTCAGCAGGAAACTGATTCTCAGCTCCTAAACGTCACTAACCCACATTCCCACGAGGTCTCCTGAAACACCCTTGATCATGTTGCATGTTTGATAACTGACTCAAAGCAGGTTTTCCAGGTGTCATAGGAAAATACAGATGTCTCTTCAGGATGAGAAACTTCAGAGGAGTCTGTGTCATTTTTGCCAAGATACATAGTCCTGGTCATCTTAATTGGGAAAGTTTATTTTGGAAGATCCCTCTTAGCCTCTGAGACGTCTTCAGGTTTTTTCTAGTCAATGAGCATATGAGAATTCATGTGATCAGTAGATCTGGGTCTGCTGGGAATAATTAAATGATACCTTGTTTTGGATCATTCCTTGGGCCTGTAGGTGGGGCCTCATGATTTAAATTGTGTGTTTTCTGGCACTTGCTATTGGCTGTTGGTCACCAAACTGTTAGGTGAACAACCAAGGTGGTTGTATATTGTACAGCCCTTTTCAAAGCATGAACCTTTCATGAGACTTCAGTTTTCTCTCTCACCACCTTTCTAGGTCATCAAGCCCTTTATCAGAACCTTAATCACACATACAAGGACAAGTTAGTGAGAAATCATATTGTGCCCTCATGTATCGTGACTGCACATGGCTAGGTATGGTGAACTGATCTAAAAGGATACCATGAAAAAGGTCTATTCATGTTACTTACAAAGTCAACTTTATGCAAGTTGACTCATGAGGAATTAAATTTTCCTGCTGTCTGTTAGCTGGGATCAGGTAGGTGAGTTCCTGTCATGGAGTGGAGTAACACTGACCTTCAAAGCTGTGTTCTTAAAAAAGGAGGTGGTCCAAGATCCGTGTTAAGGCTGATGCCAAGAATGACCCCTCTTTAATAGAATTAAAAAAAATAAAAAATAAAAAATAAAGGCTAATAGCAGAGGAGTGTTCCCTGAATCTTCTGGCTGCTGCACTTTCCAAGAGGTGTTCACTTTGCTAGATTGTCCTAGAAATACTGTATCATTCATGGCTGTGACCTATGTTTAAGGACGATAATCCTGAAGGTGGAAAGAGGTGTCCATAAATACCAGTGGAGGGACCTCTCGATGGATAAGTTCATGCTGGTCCCATTCGCAAGTGCCCCAGCATGTGTGGTCTTAAGATACCAGCCACACTGGTGGAATGGAAGGTGGTCAGGGTTAGCCTAAGGCCAGCCACATCTGGAGGAGAGGGATACAGACTCCCCAGAAATGTAGGGAGAGGTTTGTGTTCTCTTTCTGTCATTCTTAAATTTTAGTCACAATGTCTTTCAGTTAAGATAGTCTCGTTGCTCTGACTCAAGGGTGGTATTTAATGCATATTTTTGTATTTCCTTGTACTGAAAATGATGGCAAACATCCAAGGGGGAAAAAAAAAACCACAAGTGTTGAGAAACGTTAAGTTTACCCTGCCCCCATGGCTCCCTTGTGGAGGATACTTTGTAATTAGTGGTAGGCAGGTAACAGTTGCCTACCTGATGTATTTTTAAGTTATAATATAGAACACCTGTGTATTAATGAGAATCACTGAAGAGTAAATATGTGGATGAAAGCCTGCTTGGGGCCTTCAGCCTGGAGAGCTGTCAGCCCCGCAGGCTCTCAGGTGGTTGGTCCCCAGGACAGATCTACTCTGTAGTGCTATCTGGGTGTCTGCCTCTCAAATACCTTCAGCGCTGCCTGAGTTGGGGGTCTCTCGACGGAGCTGGTTCTTGGTAAGCGGTGCCCAAGTGTGGAGACTCAAGCCCGGGAGGAAGAGTTGCATTAGCAAGAGAGTAAGCGAGGCTAAGCTGAAGGTATCCCAGGTACTATTGGAAAGGATCCCCAGGGTGAGTTGGGGAGCTCGGATGTAGCCCGGGAATGTTTGAGGAAAAAATCCCCCAGGTAAGCTGGGGGGAGCCCAGAAGTAGGCTGAGAACATTTGAAAAAATCTCCCAGGGTGAGCTGGGGGAGCTCGGAATTAGCCCGAGAACGTTTGGAAAATCTCCTGGGTTGAGCTGGGGGAGCTCGGTCATAGTGAGGTATCATGGGACAAGGGGCAAGCAAGCGAGAGGCTTGTTCTGGTTTGCTTCGACAGCTGCTTAAAAGAGGAGGAACTAAGGCTGGCACGGACAGTTTAACACAGTTTTTCGGTGTGATTGTGGAATTTTGTCCCTGGTTCCCTGAGCAGGGAGCGTTGACCATGGAAGAATGGGAAAAAGTGGGTACTACTTTAGAGAAGGAGCAAAGGATATCTCAATTCCGGTGTGGTCTGTTTGAGCTTTGGTGCATTCTGCCCTTCAGCTGTTTGACAGATGAGGAGGAAAAGGATTCAGGAAAGGAGAGAGGGAGTGTGATGAAGTATGGAAAGAAATTATAGAGCAAAAAGATGAAAAGTCAAATAAGGAAAAGGTGTGCCCGTCAGCACCCCCTCAGTATCTTGTAGAAGGATGGCCAGATCCTCCCGATGTTTCTACCTCTGCTTCTGTTGGCGTGCGTGCTCCTGGAACTACAGTAACCAATGTAGGCGCTTATACTTAGAACTACGGTAACCAGATCCATTCAAGCTGAATTCAAGCAAGAAGCGGGGGAGATTTGGAGGCATGGCAATTTTCAGTTGTTGCACACCCTCAAGATCAGCAGGGGCAAGTATGGGTTGCTTTTGAACCCCTTCCCTTCAAACTGCTGAAGGAGTCTAAACAGGCCATCAGCCAATATGGGCCTGAGTCTCCATTTGCTAGGATTATTAAAGAACGTAGCTATTTCTTACCTGCTGATTCCAATAGATCTGATTTTGGGGAACAGTTGAGGAGTCTGCCTTGGGCCTGGATCCAAACCAGGGCCTCTCCAGTGCAAGCTATTTCCTCATCCTTATACAATGCTTGTTCCCACCACAGCTGGGA